TTTTATAAACTTTATTTATAAATTTTTAATAGGTATCCTGAGTTTAAATTTATCGGTACGCACAGGAGCTTTATACGCTTTGCACTCATTTGCTTGTTTACAACGATACTGAACTCTCTAAAATTTTGGTACAAAGACGGAACTGTTGAAAAGATGATGAGGGCTAAAAATTAATGCAACAAATTTCTAGATCAGATATTTTTCTATCACCAAATGCGTATTTCAGTATAATTTACAGCACACGAAGAAGATATATGAAACATAATAGAAAAATATTGGTGTCTCTAGTTCGAAGCAGCACGATATTCATAGTATTCAAACATCACCATGGACCCCTTCCCATCCCAAAAAAAAGATTGATCCTCAGGTTTTGTTTGCCAGAATCCTGGATAAAACTGATGGCGCATTGATTGCAACCATACGAGCGGCTCGGGCTGAATTTTCCAGCTGTGTACAAAATATAATCATTCTACGCATACTCCTGAAGTTGCCACCCCTCGGTTGTAAAGAGAACTTGGTGCCATGCTTTATATTCTTATCTCTTCGAGTCGGAGGAGCATCAGCCGAGGGGTAATCGGATCTCCTCAACGCGAGATTCTTCCGTATACCTTAAAGAGCTACTGAAATGGGTGCTTCTTGCTGCTTTTACATCACTTTCACGATACAAAAACTCTGTCGATTAATCGTCCCGTGGTGCGTCTTGAAATCAATCGCACATCCGTCCTCTTACAGGGGAGTAAGGGTAACTTTGACGATCGATGGAATAGTCCTTTTTCCTCCTAACGGTCCCTCCCTTTGTCGAGCCGAGGTTAATAGATTGGAGCGAGGGATGAATTTCCTAATTTAAATTCGCGAGAAACTATTTAAAACTCAAAAAGGAGAGAAGAAGACAAAGAAGACGCTTGCGGTTGTGGAACTTTGGCAAATTGTGAATTCAAGAGCAGCCCTCCCTAACCGCCCTCTTTTCGTCACTCTGACGTCTGCCCTTTTCAAGATATATTAATTGTTTGTTTGATTTTCAAGTTTTATTTTGCAGATCCATAAAAAAAAGTCAATCTGATTTCAACGTGTCATGTGATAATTGATTTGATTTACGTAGTATATTTTAAAGACTCATCAAGAATGATGTTATACGTCAATTGACTAACAGTACAGTCTTAATAGAGACGCGAACGCATCACCACTGGATTACGAATACATTTTTCTGCCGTTGATACCACATATAAGAATGGATAAATAGCTTCAACTTTTCCAATAAACTCCAACTGTTTGGAAAAATAAGAAATATTTTTGAGAAGGGAAAGTCTCTTCGAGCTCCTTTTTATTCCTTCTCTCTACTCGTTTCGGAGATCCTTCGAGGTAATTACTTAGCCCAGTCGTAGATTTGGAGAAATTTAAGGGTAGAAGTCGCATTGAGAAAAACCTTTTTACTTATTCAGAATATATGCTTGAAATGGATTTTCAAAAGCTTTTTTTTTTTATGATTATTTATGTTATTTAAATATTAACAAAAAAAAAAAAAAAAAAATTAGCCAATACTTACTTTATTTAAATTTGGTCCATCGAAAGTAGACAACGTCCATCATCGATCTTACCGACGTTTCGGAGAAGTCAGACGGTAGTGTCATCTCTCAGCTAAAGGAAGCACCAACTGAAAGGTATAGGGATAATTCGCGCTGAAAGGGTAAGGCAAAAAATTTAGAGGGTAATTTTCGAAATTCTCACCTGAAATTTCAATTGCTAAAACAATTGAAAATAAACATGAAAAAAGAATTTAATTTCATAAAAATACTAGAGTCAGTTCTAACAATCACGCGTGCAATTTTAGTGCTTGAATTCAGATCGGCTGCAAAAGAACGGGTAATTCAATTAGCCAAGAGCAATATGTCAAAAGTACCTGAAAATACCCGAGAAAGTCTACTCGAATAATAAACGACGCCCCTTCTTCTCCCGGGAACATTTGCATGATTTAAGGATCTGTCACGAGCCTCGACTTTAGCTCCATCGATTCAGGAATACTCTTCCACCATCTACTTTTAGATCGTTTGCAGACTCTGTCGCGCAGGGCTTTGAACTCGATTCTCGTGAATAATTGACTTTCTTCCTCCGCTTAACGTGTTCGTTCGGGCATTCCCATTGGAAAACATTCAAGGAGGAAAAATGTTAACAAAAGTCAATTGGCACGATTGGCGTGCCCCAACACCAGAGGAAAAGATTATAAAAGGTGTTTTTCCAACGTCGGCCCCGGCCCAACCATCGAAACGAGGGGATTAAAGCGAAATTGAGCGGGAAAAGCTACCACGGCACCAGAGAACTTTCGCATAAAAGTTTCATCGGGACGCAGCGCTAGGAAAAGCATCTCCTCCAAGCGCAGCTAATTCAAAATGGCGCCGCGCGCCCCTACGTATCATCCAGAAAGGCAGGGAGCTGCTCGTTCCCACATACATA